ATTCGTATACTTACAGTTCATAAACTATTCTATTTCCAGATGTAGCGATTCTCGATACATCTATGATCCGGTTCCTTTCAAAACTTCTGAAGAAAGGAAGGGTTGGAAAATAAGAGTATTCGAATCGTGAGCACTTACATAAAATTCATTTTATAGTCATATCAATCACTTAGTTAGTAGCCACATTCTCCTGCCATTCGTGATGACGGTAAGTTTTCTAACTTTTACTTTATTATTTCGAGACTTGGACTGTCAAATCTGAACTAGTCTAATCCGTGGAAAGGTGTCGCAGATAAGAATAATTATGACAGGCACCCAAAATTTGAGGCTGACGAACTTAGTCCAGTTTGTGCGACGATTTGATGTAAAGTACGTTCATACATCTATACAACATGGCAGTCAAACCTGGGGCATACGTGACCTGTTGCTCACAATGGGTTAATAACATTTACGAATTACGGTTAATTTCTTTTTTTTCCGTTACACCTGCGATAATTTTTTGGACGGCTAACATTTTTGCGAAAAAAGGCTAATATTTGGCAATTTTTACCCCCAACTGCTAAATATTTTGGCCGTTTCACGGATATCGAATAGCTCCAGTGAAACCCTCCAACGTAACTACCTCCATTCAATGTGTCAAAAGTGGTTGACACATGTCTGAAATGTCAAACACACTCTAAATCATTGAAAGGATCTCCCTCTCCCATTCAGTGTTACCTGTATGCAGGTAGAGGTTCATGGAATCACGATACATTTTTTTTTTTTGGTGGGGGAGGGCGAATAGGTTAACTTAACAAGGGTACAAGTGATAAAATTAAAGTAATCATGAAACGTTTGTGGGTTGTGAGAGTCAGGGTATCAACAATTTTGTCACCGATTGCAGATGGTGAATCAACATACGATGATGAAGGGACCAAAACAAGATACCTACTGCGTGAATTTGTTGGCTATGGGACAAATAATCTTTTTTTTTAGGACAACCTTTGTTTGCAAGTTGAATCGGAATAAACCAAATTCTATGATAAACTTAGTGCTTTCCTTTAAATGCACTGGCTATTTTGTCGAGTCGGATCTTGGTAAAAATCTAGATCCCTTGTCTTACCACTCAGGTACACAATGATAACAAATCAGAGAAACTTACAATGTGTTGTAATATGTGAGTCCCTTCAAATCTGGCACGGTGGTCAGTAGGTTATTCGTCAAAGTGCTAAAGGATTCAGGAAAATGGGAAAAAGACTTATTAATCAGTTATAATGATTTGATTAAAAGGCTAAGGTTCTCTTTCCAAGATCATCTATTTGGTACTGCCTGCTTTACGGGAAGAAATCCCCTGATTGGCCAGTCTCCTGGGAAGCAATCGTTTGGTCACGTCATGCAACTCTCAAATAGCGTTGTGTGACGAGAACAAACACTGAACCGTTGCAAAACCACTTTCTTGTTGGCTTATTGAAATATTGAAATATTTTCTTATCAAATAACACGCCGCATCCCTTTTCTGACTCTCATTAAAAAGTAATGCAATAAATAAGTGTATTACATTCACGTCTGACGAGGGACTGATTACAAAATCCAAATACGAAATCTAATTACGAAATCAGCTCAATTATCATTGGAAATGGGTCTTCAATGAGGCATTGTCAGTTTGATGTAATTTCCCTAGTTTTGGAACTCTCTGTTTTGAAAATAATAGTATTAGGAATGTAGCTCTTCTCATCTTTTCAAATAAGCTCTTATTCAATTTGCAATTTGGACACCAGTGGCCGAGTTCGGATTTTGAACACTAGTAGCCGATTTTTTACTTTGGATACTTGTGTCCGATTGACCGATTTACAATTTTGGAGAGCCAGTGTTCTACGGAGACAAGAGATTATAAACTGTTTATTTTCTCTTGATGGAGTGCATTTCGCATTTCGCAAGTTTAGCAGTATTCTCGATCGATTAACGACATGAGATTATAAACTGCAGTCCGTATTCTCTTGGTAACGCTAGTTGCTATTCTTTCAGTTGTGTGTGTTACTTACAATTTTTCGAGGCAAGTGAGTTGCTTAAAAGTTTCGTCCCCTATGGTCTTTATTCTGTTATGATTAAGCCACCTATCACCGATTAAAAAACATATTTTCAAGTTATTTATCCCAATAAATAAAACCAAGCTCGATATGCTTGAACTCGAGCATAGGAAACTGTGGCTGGAACATGGAATCAAGGCATCCAGGTAAACTTCTTAGGAGAAACAACTTTCTTCAAAGACAACTTGAAGATGAATCCTCCCTACACCGGGAGGTGACAAAACGCGGAGCCCAACTTCATAGAGTACCCTATGGAGTACCTAAATGGAGTACCCCTAAGAATCATGTATTGGAAAAATGAAATACTTTTCAAACATGGTGAATCGTTTAGACGTAAATATCAGTATATTTTGAGCTTGCCAGCTCTTCATTTACGTACTCCATAGGGTACTCCATGGAGTAGGGCTCCACGTTTTGTCATCTCCCTCCATACCACCTTCAAGGGAAGCTCAATAGTCTAGTATAAAGCTACCTTAGGCTGTCTGAAATCAAAATCAAATCCCCACTCATAACCTCATAATCACCAAACATGAAAAATGTGAATAATATAATGGAATAAGACATTCTTGAATATGATGCTACCGTAGCTATTGTTATCTACAATCAAGAACTCTGTAACCGTCGGTGTAAATTGTTCCTTAGAGACAATAAACTCGGTGAAGGTATTAGCAATATCTTTGATTGACTTGTCCATGTTCCTTGAATTTATTCGCAATCCCTCATGGACAATCCTTCACTCAAAATGAACGTCTGCCTCGACAATCCCTAACTTAAGATAATCAACCTCCCGTATTAAGCCAACTTCAAAGCGCACGAGATCCAATACAGGATACAAAATGTTTTCACGCCTGTAATTCGACCTTGTTTCGAAACAGTAAACCATCAGTTCTAACACAATACTTATACGAGAGATAACTGGTGCCTAGATTCAAGTCCAAATCAATGTGCTGGCACAAAAAAACATGAAATTTTCCTGGCTCTGCATGATAATGACTGAGGCCTCTTATGCTTCTCACCTGTTATCAGGTTTAAAGAAGAATTAAAGAAGTTCTATCAGTAATATCAATCTGACTAAAGGAAATTGAATATTTTCACAGCCAATGGAAGCTGTCAGCCGGGTTATTTCTTCACTGCTTCATCACTCCGCAGGGACTGATGTTCCATAGCTGCCATACTTACAATTTATTAAGTTGATTGGTAAGTCCTTCCAATGTACCCTTGCATATGTGAGTCAGCTTATTAAAGCCCAGATCACTGAAAACGGAGAAGTTAACAATAGTGCGATGTTTACTGACTTTGACT